CAGTGGTATACCAAAGGTTATAAAAAAAGCAAATAACCAAGAAATGAAAAAGAATTGAGGAAATCAAGTCCTTGAAACTTTTCTTTCAACCTTTATGGCACAGGCTCCCCCACTGTGCAATCCCTCCCAGTTTCCTGACGTCTTTTCTACCCCTCCCTCACTTCATTACTCACCCGGAGTCCATTCCTAAGTTCCAGTCCTTGACTTGCCATTCTCTTGTTTTAAAGAATCTCCTTTAGATAACTCATTTTGCTTGTGCAGCATTAGCAATTCTGTGTGAGGGTCTCTTAATCTAGAGCTCTACACCCGCCCCGCCTGCCTTCTTTCCTCAAGCGTGGATAGACTCTCTCACTATTTCCCCATCGCTTGCAACCGATCCACACTGGCATCGAGGTGGCTATGAAGTCCTTGCAAGTCCTCCCTCTTGCTTACATTTGTCACTTCAGTTCCACTTAAACTGCACAGACTTCTCATTTTCATGTTTGAAAACTTCAGTAGTTCAAAATTTCTTGGCCTAGCATCAGACTTTCAATATATTTCTTCCCCATCTGATTCTTTATTTTCAACTGGGCCAGCTGATTTACTAACAGCCAAACACCACAGTATAATCTTTATTAAAAATGCATTAATACTTTAATTATCTTGACTTAACAGAGGACATTTTACTATTTATACAGACTACAGAAAATCTTCAGGTTTGGAACACACTGTGTTGAATAAAGAAATGAGATAATGCCCTGTACTCATCAGCAGATGTGTTGTTTTGTTTTAATGTTGTTACAGTTTGCTTAACTAAGGGAAAGAAATTTAATTAAGTAGCCCTCCACTTTTAGGAGTAATCCAATCACAGATTTAATCCCTCCGCCCACTGATCCAAAAACCTGTTAAAACATAGATCAGATGACCAAATATCTCCTTTTGAGGACAGATAACATTTAAGGGAGGAAATGAGAGGTGGTTAACTGTGTTCACAGATGAAACTTTAGAAAGTGGCAAATTAAATCCCACTATTTGAGTGACATTTGGAGACTTGATTTTGCTTCTCAAGATACATTAATTGCTCCATTCAAGCCTAGACATAAACATGTCTGTTCATTTAACACATTCTTACTAAATACCCATGTGCCAGATGCCATTCTAGCTCAGTACTGGGGTTACAAGGGTAAACAAGACAGATATCCTCTTTTATTGTCTTGTCTCCACTCTGATGAAACTCATGAGTAGTGTGGAAGACAGACACTGAATAAGGGCACTGTGTGTTGTAAAATGGGAAGACTCGGGTGTTACTAGAGCAAACAATTCTACAAGGTTTAGGCTGGGGTGCAGAAAGGACCTCCTCAGAAAGTGCATACATGCTGCTACTGCTGCTGCTGCTGCTGATTCTTAGCTCACCTTTGCCCTTGGGTTTTTGGCCTCATTTCTACTCATCCTTGAAAATTCAGCTTGGATTTCAGGTCCTTCTAGAAGCCATGTCTGGATTGTCCTCACAAAGTCTGCATTGGTCTTTCTGACTTTGTGTGTTGCCTCTATCCTGGAATTTACCAAGTGTATGGGAATTATTACTGGTCTGTTTCCCAACTAGACGGTGCATTCTTGGAGGGCGTCTGTATATCTTAAGTACTTAGCGAGTACTTAATAAATTTTGCTGAACAAATAAAAATTTAGCAAGGAAAAAATAGCAAAAACTTAATTTCTGCCTAGGCCTTAACAGCCAAAGAAAAAAATAGCAAAGACTTAATTTCTGCCTAGGCCTTAACAGCCAAAGTGAAAGATAACAGGTAAAAGTTTTAACCCAAGTATTTTTGGTAGAGGTTTGGAGCACAGCGCAAAGCCTGGATTATTCACTGGGTAAGATTTCTATGCTTCTGAAACCCATTGGAGTTAGAATCCTTGAGGTCAGTTTGCCAAAATATATACTGGGACATTTTGGCCCCAAGGTCTGAGAGGGTAACTTCATCAGGACTTTTTTATTCGAAAGAAAAGATGCTGTGTATATATAAAAAGAAACCTAAGAAGTTTGAGACTATGGCTATGATTTAAAAACACACAAACAATACACAGATAGTAAAAGATAGATAATAAAAGATTGAAATTATAGCTAATAAGTTTAAATTTGGGTTTTGGATATATATTTTTTAACCTAAATCTTCTATGACATTTCTAATAGGGCATAAGTTTATTAAAATTAATATAGATGTTTTAATAGTAAGTTTATTAAAAGAAATAAAAAGTAGCCATAATTAATTGCATAAGCATAAAATTGTAATCCAAGCCTCAGACTAAGGAAAACAGTGCTATCTAGTGGTTAAATTTGGGAACAAGGGATGAGGCACACCAGAGGCCGGAGAACCTCGGAGAGGTCATGCATGTTTCAGTAGTTCCACTTCATGTTTGTTACAAGAGAAAATAATGTACAAGTGAATCACCAGCTCATAGATGGGAAGAGGATTAGACACTGATTCAAGCAGTTGTATTAAGAGTGTGACATGGCAAAGAAATTAAGAAACTGGACTCTAAAGTCAGGCCCAGATTCAGAATTTGACTGCATGACCTTAAACAAGCCATCAGACTTGTTAAATTCTTGATTATTTTTAACTATGAAATGGAGATAAAAATATTGACTATCTGATAGAGTTACTGAGAAGATTAAATGGGATAGTATGCATAACACATTCAGCACAGTGCTTGGCATTTAGTAAGGCAAATAATTCAGAAATATTAGCTTATTATTATTAATTTACTTAGGATATATATGAATTTCAAATAATTGTAGAAAATCTTATAAATTGTTAAAATAGGTTGTATCAATATCAACAGATACATGTAGAAGATATAAAATATCAGACATTAGTTTCCCTTTAAGTACATCAAAGCAAATTAAAAGGTAAAATAGGTTCAATGTTATATTTTAATCACATAGTTCCGTTGTAGGTTAGTATTTCCAACGAAAATAAAGTAATTTTTAGAAAGATTACTAAATGAACTCCAGAATATCATCTTATTCTAAAAATAACGACCCTTTTTGCAATGAAGACATTTTCTTTAACCAAATCCTGTATTTTTCAACATCTAGTCTAATAGATCTATCTCCATACACAAAATTCTTAAAGATAAATTTGGTCATTTGGATTTCTTTCTACTTCCTTAGAAATGTGAAGGGAAGCCACAACAGAAATATCAATAGAAAGTATTTTTTTTAAATGCTTTAATCCATTACATTGATATTAGAGAGAATTTGATCTTTGTGATATATCTCCTTTGGCTTACTGTATAATCTACTAGCTTAATTATCACAGTAGCCTTAGAATTCAAGTCAGTACATACTAGCTTTATAGAAATGCTATGCTCATCTACAGAAAAATCACTATTTATATCTGAGCCATTATACCCCAGACACTTTACTAACATTACAGTCATAGGACTGCCTTCCCCAAGGCCAGTACACAAAGTTATCTTAAATAATTTTCCTCTACATAAAATATAAAATACTTATTTTAATTAAGCATAGGATGGGTATACATGTTATTATAATCATATCACAATCATTGTGTTTGGCTATGGTTGTTGTTCTTCATTTTAATGTCTTACAATGGGGGCTGAGTTGTTTATCTTATTAACAATAAAAAACAACTGAAGTACCTATATGAATTCAAAAAAGAAATACAATAGGAATTAGAACTGTATTATAGTCACATTTGTGTCACTAACTCACTCTGTACACTTGGGAAGTTTTCAGCCTCTCTGGGTTTCCATTTATTGAACTACAAAACAAAATAATCTCTAAGGTCTAGGATAGCTCTACCTTCTAAACTTTGGCCATTATTTAGTATGTCAAAATGGCTCTAAATCATAAACCCAAATTTAGGAATTAATTATTCACAATGAACTTCCCTGACTTATTCCAACTTTTTTTCCTATTGTTACAATAGGGAAGGCAAAACAAAAACAAAAACATACTGAAAGAAGACAAAAAAACCTATTTAAAATACTGCTGCAGATCTTTACCTTTCCTCTCATTTATTAAGCACCTATTATATATACTTTACCTCGGGCATAAGGATCTAGCTATTAAGAAATCATTATATCCATGTCTTTCTCTTATTTACCTCATAATTATTTTAGGCTTCCCTAGGAATTTGGCACAGGTTTCTCTCTCAGTCACATGTTAATATTTCTAGAACTTAACTCATCAGCACCCAAAAATCCCTTAAATGAAATCTGTCAAGTTTTTATTTTTCCATTTACAAAGCTGAGAAACTGTGGTGACAATCTCACTCTGAATAAACAGCATTCACAATGAATAAAGGTGTTTTTGACTGCAGAAGGTAAGCACAACCCCAAATATTTAACATGGCAGGAAAAGAACTAAAGTAAATAAAACCCAATCAACACAAAATGGCAGCCTAAACAGAGGAAGAAGCTTCCATGCAGTTGGGAGTGAAGGATTGGTTAGGATTTTTGGAGAGGAGCCAGCTTCATATAGGTATCAGAGACTAAGTTAATTCACCATTTTAGTGATTTCAGCACATCCTTCCAAAATAATATCACATGAAGCTCATCTATATGATTTGGCCAAAATGCTGATCAAAGTATTTCTAACTGTACTGGCAAATGTGGTAGAGTAAAACAGATAACAGATTCAATACTTGAAGATGTATAGTAAATCCACTACTTCAAATGGCATTATGAGAGCACCTCGCTTTTGAAAGGGTGTGTTGGACATCGCTAATCAGAAATGTATTATGGTAACTTCAAATAATAATAATTAAAAAAAAAAAACATTCACTCAAGACCTGAAAGAAGAACCCAAGACACAATCTCAAGGCAATAAGGATGAAAAATATGAGTATACAATCTCGTAACAAATATGTACATCCATACGGTTTTACTATTTTAGTTATACTGAAACTTGACAACTTCACAGCAGTCTACTAAAATCACAGATCAATAGGATAAAAGTAGATAAGAAGAACATGCAATTTATGAATATGGTTTATTACCATGGTTACAAACTTTCAGAACAGGCCTCTGAGACATTGGACTGAGACTTTGCCGAACATCTGTTAAAAAAATATATAAAAGAAACTTAATATAGAGGTCTGTTCATCTCAAGAAGTATAACAGTATTAAACAGACTTTTTTTCCCAAGGTTAAGTATTTCTGGCAGCAAAGTAATGCTTCGATACCCTGAAATACTTGAAGCAGTAATGTTATGACTTTTACTTCCCATTTAATTATGCTACTGTAAACTCCACTGGGATGAGATACATATGGTTCTTTAGATGAGACTTGTCACACTAATCAGGATTTTCTAGGTTCAGTGCATTGATTTGTTAATGCGTTACTGACATCGGCCAACTGGAATGAGTATCTCTGACATTTGTCTGTGCAAGGGATTAAGCAAACTTATGAAACTTCTGAACAGTTGTTGCCCATAGCACTGTATTCTTGACACATGACTTTTAAAAGAATTAGGGAAAAAAGGGCTCTTCTCTGTGATCGTTCCCTAGAAAGTAACAGGAAGCAAGTAGAGCATTCACCTTTCGGCTTTGGTGTCCTTTTCCTTCTGTCGCGGAAGGCAGCCCCCGACTGCAAGGCCTCCAGCAGACTATCCATCACTCCTGTCTCATCACCCTCTGTGAAAAGAGACACAGGGAATTCCATCAGCCCTCAGGGTTACCATGGCAATGTCAAAGCATACACAGAAACTGGTGATGGTGATGGTGGGGAGAAAAAAGATCAGATGCCAGGACTAAGCCAGCAATTTCAAAATAAGACAGGATTTAAGCCTCTCATAAATCAACTATTTTTTAATGAAATCTGTCTCATTAGTGCCCGTGTTACAGTCTACTAAAGAGGACTGAGTTCCATTGATTCACTTTAGAATACTGCTTTTATAGTCCAACGGCATAGTAACTTTAAATGGAATGTGGTTCTAGTCCTGTCTGTGTCTCGGGTTATCATAAATCACATTTCCCTTATAGAAGTGGGTTATTTTCAAGACATCAGCCTCTATTCTAAAATCGACCAGGTGTGAGAGTATTTTTGTTATTGAGGCTCTGCTGTCTAAACTTATCGTACAAAATTATATTTCCATGCTAACTTTTGTGAACATGCTCCCAACAATTGATTTTTCAAATCAGAAGGTAATCGTCCCTTCACTTGAGGTGACACAGAACACTCACCACAAAATTTTACAGAATGTATGAAAAGTTGATCTTCTATAATGAAAAATAAAGGCTCTCAAAAATCTGAAAGACTGTGTATCCCATTATGATTAGTTTAAATTGACATTCTGCATATAATTAACAAAGGATGTGGACATAGTCAATTCTCTCTACAAATAATAGATTATCCTTGTAATATTCATAGGTATGTATACTTATCAGGGCTAAATATTATTCAAAGGAAGCAGGAGATAAAGCTTCAAAGGAACTACTGGCCCAATCCAAATTCAAAGAAAACCTAAGGACTATTTTTCTTCTCCAAAAAGGTTATTTTCAGGCCTTCTTTATGAAATTGTATGGCTGGTATACAGTTACATTTAAAATAATGAAAAACTGTTTTCCCCTGGATTTTTTGTTTTTTTATTTTTTCCTTTTTGAGACATAATCCCTTTATGGAGAACAGCTGACAAGTAAATGCAGTACAATACAAATAACATACTCATTTACAGTTTATAAACAGACATATAAATATAAATATGTATCAGCCCTTTTTCCATCTGGTTCTGTTTCATATTTTTAGAAGAGTTCTAAACCTTGTAGGTGTTATCAGAAAAAGGTGGGTGAGAAATAGAGTATTTGGAGGTTGTTAGCTTGCATGTAAATTTAATTCTAAAGTGGTTTGATGGCTATTTTAATTAAAACACACGAAATATTTCAGACAGTTTAATAAGTAACTATCTGGCTATTTGAAAATTTACACTCAAACTCAACTACATTTTTTCCTAAAAAGAACTGCAGGTAGGCCGGGCGCGGTGGCTCACGCCTGTAATTCTAGCTCTCCGGGAGGCCAAGGCGGGCGGATTGTTTGAGCTCAGGAGTTCGAAACCAGCCTGAGCAAGAGTGAGACCCCGCCTCTACTAAAATTAGAAAGAAATTAATCAGCCAACTAAAAATATATAGAAAAAATTAGCCGGGCATGGTGGCGCATGCCTGTAGTCCCAGCTACTCGGGAGGCTGAGGCAGGAGGATCGCTTGAGCCCAGGAGTTTGAGGTCGCTGTGAGCTAGGCTGACGCCACGGCACTCACTCTAGCCAGGGCAACAGAGTGAGACTCTGTCTCAAAAAAAAAAAAAAAAAGGATTGCAGGTAATGCCAAATATTTAAGGTAGTGAATATATTTGATTAGCAAAACATTTAAGAAATAAAAATATTTTTAATCTTTTCCAAGTAAGCATGAGAGTGAAAAAAAACCCTAAAGTTGAAATCAAACAGAAACAAATGAAGTTGTTATCATATTGATAGCATTAATCATAAACGAGGGGGGAAAAGAATGTAACTTCTAAACTTTCCCCTTAGTGAATGTTTTTAGTAATGGTACTGATGCAATGGTTCTAAACTATTACATTTGTATCATAAGATTGAGCAGATGGGTAAACGTGTTGATGTTGGCAACAGGGGTGCTCACTGAGGGAAAGGATATGAAATGGGAGAAGGAAAAAAAGAACCATGAAGTATTGAATTGGATTTACAGGTATCAATATAAGTTCAAGGTTAAAAAAAAAAAAAAACTTTTCCTAGCTTTGTGGACCAAAAGAGTTCAGAGACAATGACACTACAGTATTAATGAGCATACCTAGGCCAGAACCAGAACATTTAGAGAAGTCTCTGATTCTAGGGCCGAAGCCAAGAAAGTGTGAAATGAGCCAGGAACACCTTGCTGTGTCAGAAAATAAGAAAGTGCTCAAAAACAGATAGGGATGTACTGAGGACAGACTGAAGGGTTGCCTTGGGCAAATTAAGGACAATTTGAGTATGGGATAAATAATTATTATACATTGGGTAAAAAAGAATCATGCATTCACACTGATACTAAAAAAAAATTAACAAAAACGGATAGATATCACCTTACCCAAATAATCAAGTTTGATATTACCAATGATAGGCTACATTGACATCGATTGCCTCCTGAAATGATATAAAGCATAACCTGTGTAGTACTTTGCACAAAAATATTGACCCTGAATCTAAATGTGAGGAAACAATCATACAAATCCAAAGTGAGGTTCTGTGTCACAACTGGCTTGGGATCTAAAAACTATCAATATCATGAAAGACCAAGAGAAGAAAAAGGAGAGAGAAATAAGAAAAAGCTGGACAACTGTTCTAGATTAAAGGAGACTGAAGAGACATGACGACTAAATATAATGCAGTCCTTGATTAGCTCCTAGATGGGAAAAATTACAAGTGACATTATTTGGGTAATTGGGGAAATCTGAATACGGACTACATATTAGATAATTATACTATACCAACGTTAAGTTATCAGAGTGTGATAATTGGATTATAGTTCGGCAGGATAATCCTATTGTTCTCAGGAGATAGATGCTGCTGACATGTCTAGGCTCACTAAGCAACTTACAGTTTCATGTTCTCTGCCTCATGCTTTTGAGCATGCTGTTCTCTTGACACAGAACATCTTTTTCACTTTCTTCACCAAGCTAGCTCTTATCTGTCCTTCAAGACAGAGAACTGAGAATCTTCCCCTGACCTACCTGGGCTAAACAGGGAGCCTTTCTGTGTCCCAATGGCATGCAATACACATACCAATACATTCTTTAAAATATTATATTTTTATTCCACTGTTTCTACTACTATGCTATGAGCTCATTGAGGACAGGGATGATAGATTTTGTATAACACCTAGCAAAATGCTAGTATTACATAAAAGTGTTCAATAAATATACGTTGACTGAATTAACTAAATATATGTTGACTAAATTGACTAAGGACTATGATTAGTCCTTCAGCTGGAAGGACTACTCATGCAGGAGAATAAAGGTCATAGATGGACAGGGGGTCAGGGAAGTGATGGGAATACATTCCCACCATCATTGTAAACGACACACAGCTTTGTTTCTTCCTTTTCCCTTGTCTCACACATCTATTTAGTTGGCAAATCTTGTTGATTAAAACTCTCCAATATCTCCTGAACTGATATTTTGTTCCTTTTTCAACTACACTATAGAACTGATTTTTTTTTCACCTGGAATACTGCTTGAGTAGGCTAGATAGTCACATTGCTTCCAATTTCTCCCTAGTTCTTCCCATAGATTACTGATAAGTCCTATAGCAGAATTATGATCTTCAATTGCCCCATCACAAAGTTTCAACATTATCTCAGTTCTCACAGTATAAAGTCCTAACTCTTCCACCTCCCCCCACAATGATTCCAATTGCTCTTCCAATCTTATCCCTTACTTCTAACCATCACGACCTATTTGTCAGCTAAATGCAACTGCCTGTGGTTGTCCACATTCTCACTTTCCCATCCATCACTCTCCACCTGGAACCTCTCTCTCTCTGCTCTTGTCCCCCAGAGCCAATGGCTTTTCTTGGCCTTCATTCCCACACACGTAATGGGAGGAATACAATACTAAAGTAAAACAACCTGCCTTCTAGTCTGAGCTTTCAACTAACTGTCTGTGTAACACTGGACTATTTACATAATCATTCCTGGCACCAGTAACAGAGACAATACCTGTCTAGGGTTAATGAGGGGATCATATGAGATAATACAAATGAAAGCACTTGGTAAATTGCTAAGTGATATAAAAATGTAGGGAAATAAATTCATAAATGAAATGTATAGTGAACTATAGGAAGTTTGCAAAATATCTTTTTATTATTAAACATTTCAAGCACAATTTCAGATATATTACAAATTAAGTCTTTTATAGTGTATTGATTATGTCCTTAGTTAATCATGTATGACATCATTTCTAAGGAAAACTGACTTGAAGTACAAATAGACTCCTGAAATAAAACCAATGTTTAATATGGGGACATACCAGGAAGATGTTCTTTCAAATATTAAAAATGCATTTAGAACATTCAACTGACACATGTTTGCCTGGCATATGGTACCATGTGCCAAGATATTACTAGGCACGAAGGATACCTAGGATCCAAGGTTAACAAGAAATCTTTTCTGCTCTCAGAAGCAGAAAAGTGTGACAGGCATGGGAGGGATATATACAGGCTTCCCAGTGAATGATGACGAAGAATAAGCAGGAATTAGCCACAGCAGGGACTGGGGAGGGAGGAACATTCTTGGCAAAAGGAATACCAGGCACAGAGGCAAAAGGTATGGATAAAAACAAAAGATGAGGTAAAATAAAGTGTTTAAATGATTCATATTTACATTACTCTAACACTAACGAGAGCAATTAACATTAGCCATTTTTTATTATAGACCAGAATTAAATTTCTCTAATTTTTTTTTTTTT